CTAACACAACATTATAAATCAACTATGTTCCAACATTAAATTAAAAAAAATAAGGTCATTGTAATTTATTTATTTATTTGCATGTTAATCTAGTCTTTAATTAAGACTTTGCAAGATGAAAGTGTCCAACTGCTTTTTATTTTTTTTGCAAAAAGTAGTGACACTTGGTTTTATATATATATATATATATATATATATATATATATATGTATGTATGTATGTATTTTTTTTTTTTTTTTACTTATTTACCAAGTGGCCTGTTGCTTTATACCTGATAGGGTTTTCTTTTATTTTCTTTTGTAGTGGTTTTTGCCATACCTTGACATGAATCAGCCATGGAGGGTCATTGTAATTTATTAAAAATCTGGTAGTACTGTATTAGGAAGGCCTTTTAGAGTATCCAGCTGATACCTGATAGAAGCACAAGTAAAGAATAATCTTTTAAAAATATAAAATAGTTTCCATCTCTCCCCTATTAAGACCCTCAAATGGCTTTCTCTAATACTTAAAAAATGCACCAACCATTCTGGCCTACCAAGCCAGAAGCTGGTTTCTAAAGCTCCTATCCCCTCCCTGCCATCTGCTGCTCCTCACCTAGAGTGACCTTCTTCCTGCCTTAGAGCATTACACTAGTGGCTCCCCTTGTGTGGCATATCCTTCTCTCTTTCTTCACATGGCTGGCTCTTCTTATCATTCAGGTCACACCTTAAATGCCACCTTTTCATAGCAGCCTTCCTTGATTCACTTCCCTATTTCTGCATCACATCACCTTGTTATAATTCTCTCTAGAACACTTCCCCTTCACCAATCACAGCCTTGTCATGGTGAAGGGACTTGAATAACTCAATGAAGCTATGATCCATGCCATGCAGGGCCACCCAAGACAGACAGGTCATAGTGAAGAGTTCTTACAATATATGGTCCACTGGAGAAGGGAATGGCAATCCACTCCAGTATTCTTGCCTCGAGAACCCCATGAACAGTATGAAAAGGCAAAAAGATATGACAATAGAAAATGAGCCCCCCATGTTGAAAGATGTTCAATATGTTACTGGAGAAGAGCAGAGGGCAATTACTAATAGTTCCAGAAAGAACGAAGCAGTTGGGTCAAAGCGGAAACGATGCTCAGGTGTGGAAAGTAAAGTCCTATGCTGTAAAGAATGATATTGCATAGGAACCTGGAATGTTAGGTCCATGAATGAAGGGAAATTGGATGTGGTCAAGCAGGAGATGGCAAGAGTGAACATCAATATCTTAGGAATCAGTGGACTAAAATGGACAGGAATGGGCGAATGTAATACAGATGACTATTATATCTACTACTGTGGGCAAGAATCCCTTAGAAGAAATGGAGTAGGCTTCATAGTTAACAAGAGAGTCCAAAATGCAATACTTGGCTGCAAGCTCAAAATTGACAGAACGATCTCGGTTCATTTCCAAGGCAGACCATTCAACATCAGAGTAGTCCAAGTCTATGCCCCAACCACTGATGCTGAAGAAGCAGTTGACTAGTTCTGTGAAGACCTACGACACCTTCTAAAACTAACACCAAAATAAGATGTTCTTTTCATCATAGGGTATTGGAATGCAAAAGTAGGAAGTCAAGAGATATCTGGAATAACAGGCAAGTTTGGCCTTGGAGTACAAAGTGAAGCAGGGCAAAGGCTAACAGAGTTTTGTCAAGAGAACATGCCAGTCATAGCAAACACTGTTTCCAACAACAGGAGAGATGACTGTGACTCTGCACATGGACATCACCAGATTGTCAGTACCAAAATCAAATTGATTATGTTCTTTGCAGCCAAAGATGGAGAAGTTCTATACAGTCAGCAAAAACAAACCTGGAGCTGACTGTAGCTCAGATCATCAGCTCCTTATTGCAAAATTCAGGCTTAAATTGAAGAAAGCATGAAAAACCACTAGGCCATTCATGAATGACCTAAATTAAATCCCTTATGGTTATACAGTGGAGGTGATGAATAGATTCAAGGGATTAGATCTGGTAGATACAGTGCATGAAGAACTATGGACAGAGGTTCGTAATATTGTACAGAAGGCAGGGACCAAAACCATTCCAAAGAAAAAGAAATGCAATAAGGCAAAATGGTTATCTGAGGAGGCTTTACAAATAGCTGAGGAAAGAAGCAAAGTGAAAGGCAAGGGTGAAAGCAAAAGATGCCCAACTGAATGCAGAGTTCCAGAGAATAGAAAGGAGACAAAAAGCCTTCTTAAATGAACAATGCAAAGAAATAGAGGAAAACAACAGAATGGGAAAGAGTAGAGATCTCTTCAAGAAAATTGGAGAGATCAAGAGAACATTTCATGCAAAGATTGGCATGATAAAGAACAGAAATGGTAAGGACTTAACAGAAGCAGAAGATACTAAGGAGAGGTGGCAGGAATACACAGAATTATTAAAAAAAAAACAACTCTTAATGACCCAGATAACCATGATGGTGTGGTTACTAATCTAGAGCCAAACATCCTGGGCTGTGAAGTCAAGTAAGACTTAAGAAGCATTACCACAAAAAAAGCTAATAGAAACAATGGAATTCCAACTGAGCTATTTAAAATCCTAAAAGATGATGCTCTGAAAGTGCTGCACTCAATATGCCAACAAATTTTTAAAAGCTCAGCAGTGGTCACAGGACTGGAAAAGGTCACTTTTCATTCCAGAAAGGCAATGCCAAAGAATGTTCATACTACCATACAACTGTGCTCATTTCACATGCTAGTAAGGTTATGCTCAAAATACTTCAAGCTAGGCTTCAACAGTACATGAACTGAGAACTTCCAGATGGGAACTACAAGCTGGGTTTAAAAAAGGCAGAGTTGTCAAAGATCAAATTGCCAATACTTGTTGCATCATGGAGAAAGCAAGGGCATTCGAGAAAAACTTCTGCTTTATTGACTACACTAAAGCCTTTCACTGTGTGGATCACAACAAATTCTTAAAGAGAAAGTTTACGAATTTTATGTGTGGAAAATTCTTAAAGAGATGGGAATATCAGACCACCTTACGTGTCTCCTGAGAAACCTGTATGCAGTTAGAACTGGACATAGAACAACAGACCAGTGCAAAATTGGGCAACAAGTATGACAAGGCTGTATATTGTCACCCTGCTTATTTAACTTGTATGCAGAGTACATGTGAAATGCCAGCCTGGATGAATCACAAGCTGGAACCAAGATTGCTAGCATAAGTATCAACAACCTCAAATATGCAGATGACACCCCTCTAATGGCAGAAAGTAAGAGCTTCTTGATGAGGGTGAAAGAGGAGAGTAAAAAAGTTGGCTTAAAACTCAACATTCAAAAAGCGAAGATCATGGCATCTGATCCCATTACTTCATGGCAAACAGAAAAGCAGTGACAGATTTTATTTTCTTGGCCTTCTAAATCACTGGAGATGGTGATCAAAGCCATGAAATTAAAAGATGTTTGCTCCTTGGAAGGAAAGCTATGACAAACCTAGACAGTGTATTAAAAAGCAGAGACATCACCTTACTGACAAAGGTCCATATAGTCAAAGGTATAATTTTTCCAGTAGTGAAGTATGGATGTGAGAGTGGGACCATAAAGAAGGCTGAGTGTCAAAGAATTGATGCTTTTGAATTATAGTGCTGGAGGAGACTCTTGAGAGTCCCTTGGACAGCAAGAAGATCAAACCAGTCCATCCTATTAGAAATCAATCCTGAATATTCATTGGAAGGACTGATGTCGAAGCTGAAGCTCCAATACTTTGGCCACATGATGGGAAGAACCGACACACTGATGCTGGGAAAGACTGAAGACAAAAGAAGGGGGCAGCAGAGGATGAGATGGTTAGACAGCATCATCAACTCAATGGACATGAATCTGAGCAAATCCTGGGAGATAGTGAGGACAGAAGAGCCTGGCGTGCTGCAGTCCATGGGACACAGAGTCGGACACAACTTAGCAAGAGAACAACAACTATAAGAACAACTAGAGCATCTATTATTATTAGCAGACATTTCCCTATTTATTATCTCTTTTCCTACCAGAACATGAGACCCATAGGAGCAGGGATCTTATGTTTCTGGTTCACCACTATCTTTCCCAGGCTTTAGAATAATTCCAGATACACAGTAAGGACTCAGTGCATGTTTGGTAAATGACTGGAGCTGAGTACTGGCAACGTCATCTCTGTAGACAGACCTAGACTCTCCAGGGCTCCACTGTGCCCACTACTTCCTATTATCTCAGCAGCCCAGCTTGCTTTGCTCTGTGACTTACTGGCTCTAGTAGGTATTTGAGTTTTAAATCCCTACTCATAATGTTACTTTAATTATCTTCAACATTTTGAGAGCCGAGGCCATGTTTATGTTTCTTTTCTTCTTCAACGTCTTGCAAATAGTAGGGGGGAAGGAATTAAATTCATTGAATATATTGCCTACTAGTCAAGCACCAGCATAGCACTATACCTTAATTTATAGCCTCACAACACCACTATGGGGCCAGGCTTTATTATTTGTGTTCATTCAATAAGTGAGGACACCAAGGCTTAGGGCTGTTTAGAGTTATGCAGTAAACGAAGGATCTGGCATTAGGACCTATCCAGACAACACATACTCAGTATGAACTACTGCAAAACTGCTGCCCGTGTCTAGGGAACAGGTTACTGTTTCAATATGCGAGAGCCATGGTGGAGCAACTGATCGGGTATTTCAGAATATTTCAGGCCAGGTTTTACTTAACAGTCTGGCGATTCACTTCTCAATTCCATTCCACTGAGCCTATGAAGGTTTAGCTTGAGGTGTGTCTCTACTTGGTGAGGAGAGGCCTTGGAGGTATTAATCATGCCTTTCGCATGATGAGGGTCCTGCACACCCAATAAATGTCTGCTCTTGGCAAATATTATGGAATCTGACAGCAAAATTTTTCAAAGATGGTTATTTCTGTCAAATCATCACCTGTCACTGGATCACTGAACAAAGACAGACGTTGAATACAATGAATGTACGCCACAACACCAAACAATCTTTTAAATAACAAAATCTTATTTTTATTTTTTTACAGAAATTCAGATATTCCAACAAATTTCTTTACATTTCCTGGACCTTAAAAAATTACACACAACTTTTGGACACAATACAACAGAACAGAATGAGAAAGGGAGTCACTTTTTTTTTTAAAAAAGATAAAAACATACTTCTTATACCTAATTAACATTTAGTGATTTACATGTGTTTTACCTATGTACAAATGGTACACTGTCAATGACCCATCTTCAGAGCACTATGGTATGCTAAATTACACTTAGGTTTTATGGAAAACAACTTCTTAAAAACACTTGCATGTGGATAGGAAGCACTTTTCCATTTTCATAAACACCACTATTAGTGTTGTAGGACTCCCAATGGAATCTACAATTTACACGGATTAGAGAAAGCCAATACCTTCTATTTTTATTGTAGGTAAAGTAGAGAGGTACCTCCCCTTAACTAAAAGATGAATTCTTGAAAAGTTGTGTGTAATTAAATTTAGTAAGTAGGGTGTTTTGAATGCAGAGGGAGAGCTAATATTTAAAGCAACAAATAACTCCCAGAACAGCTAATACTTTAGAGATAATAAGTACTCCCCTAATGTGGTTCTTTAGAAAATCCATATCTTTGTGAATTGTATTTCACTTATTTGACTGTATCTGTAATATACTTTTTAGCCATTTGAAACATAAAACTCATTTGGGGTGAAAAGATGCTAATACCAGTGACATTTGACAAAACTAGGGGTGTGAGACAGGATAAGAGAAATCAACCACGATCTGTATCTTGGTTGATTCTTCTTGTATTACTCTCCATTGTTCCAATAATACATACTAAATGGATCTTAATTTTGAGTTCAAAAATGAAGGCATTCTACATGTTCATGTTTTCTGCTCAGGTATAGAATATGATTTGGCTTATATTGATAACTCCTGCACATACATTTTAGCTTGTGTCATTCTCAAGCAATTGGCTACTTCAATATTAAATATTTTTCTGTTGTTGCATATTGCAGGACATGTGATGAGGGTGATGGTGTGGGACGCCTGGGAGCAAAAGATTGTTGAAGACAACTAATCATTTGTCACTACTTTTAAATGCCAATCAACTAAAAACAAACAAACAAACAAAAAACTGTGTTCTTGAAACTAAAATTAGTAAACAAAAAGACCACTTACTCCTACCAAGTTTCTTTGACCTGTATTAAGTATATATTCATTTAGTTCTAAGGCTATTAAATTATTATGTATTTTATTAGTACCACTTACTATCATTTAGAAATAGGTTTAATGGAATGGTGTTATTTTTAAAATAAAAATGAGTGCCTATCAGTAAGGGAAAGAAAGGATATGGATTTCTGATGATATGACAAAGAAATAGAAAAAGAAGATATTTTAGATGTTTATTTGTAAAGTATATTAAATTCTTATACATATTACTAGGGGCAATTAGAAAAAGTGTTTATTTGATAGCAGCCTATATATTACATGTGAGCATTCAAGGTGAAAATGAGCTTTCTATATTTTTCAGAGTTCCTTGATGCTGTTTCCTGAAAGATAGGGAAATCTATGTTGCTCAGGAACCTATGATGTAAAAATGTACTTCCTGTAATATACAGCTTGATGGAGTAATAGTATACATCAGAAACACTTTCTCAGTAATAACTGGTACAGACAGATTAAACTGAACAAAGACTCAGTAAAAAGTTTGAAGCGTTAACATCTCTTAACTGAGTGGTTGTAACTAATTACACAGTGACATAAATGAACAGCAGAGATGGGAACCAAAGATCATGGCTCCTATGAAAATATTCAGAGGCATTTTCTAAGACGCTTCCTCAATAACTGATGGTTGATCAGCCTCTTGGCTATTGAGATAGGAATAATTTAGGATGCACTGCCTTTTTTGAAATAATGTTGAAAGATTAAAGCTTTTTGTTTTCTGTTTGATTAAAAAAGGACAGTTTACAAACCTCAGTACATATATATTTTACATGTTAATTCTAGCACATTTATATTCCTCTTCCTTAAAATATTTCCTGAATGTGATTTCTCATGAATGTCATCTGCTCTTATTCAATGATAGTTTCCAATGAGCTGGTGTTTAATCCGTGATTGTATCTCCTTTCAGGAAAATCACTCCCATCTCTGCCGATCTAGGTTTGGTAGATGCTTTGACAGTCGGATGCGTCACTCTTGCCGGTATCCATCTTGGTACTCTGATCTCTCCCAAGCGTTTTCCTTCTCGATGCTGATGTACAAAAGCTGTTATTCGATTAGTTTAGCTGTTATTTGATTTGTTTTGTGCTCATTCTAGAGAATATTGGCTTAGCAGAACTGCAGAGGGGGGTGGGGGGATGGACAAGAGAAAGAGAAAAGAGAGAAAGAACAAATGCATCATTTTCTGTCCTCAAGATTTTTGTGCATATTTGTCAAGGAAAAACCATACCAACAAATGCACCTTAGATTTGTTATCAAACAAGACTGAAAAGAGTGAGGTTTCTGGTCCATTAAACAAACAGCATAGCCTTCCTGGTAAGGGGGGTCCCCTGATAATTCAGGCATGCATATCCCCTGCATGTGGATGAAGATTACAGGCTGCTTTGAAGGAGCAAGGAAGAATGCAAAATGATCCCACGCATCACCGATTTTTCTGCCTGGCACAGAAAATGCCTCACTTGAGTGTTTTCCTTTTCCTTTCAAGTTTTATTTATTATTGAATGAACATTATAACAGTTTCAAAAGGAATGACTACAGAGGTGAATCATCCACAATCCAACCACTTTGAGACACCAACTGTTTTCTTCCCACGTCTCTTTCTGTTCCTTATCTAAGGTGTGCACTTATTTGATATAGTTGGAATCACAGCGTAGATGACATTTCCAATACAATATTAAAAAGTTTCCTATATTTCCACTCTCTCCACCATCAGCATCAGTTTCTCATGACTGCATTATATTCCATTCCATTCTCATTCCTCTCCGGGCCACGCTCAATATTCCGCCCTAAATGATTTCACCACGTCAGATACATAGGTACGTTTCTGTTTCTTTTGTTACTATCGAAAATGAATATTTTTGCATATGAAACTTGACTTGTTCTTTTAAATTCTTTTCTTTAGGACAAATGCTCAGGGGAAGGCTGCTATTCCTTTTCTGCAACATTCTAGGGACTGTGCCTGTATTGACAGAGACCACAGATGGTGTGATCTACTCCATTCTCTGGCTAATTTTCATAGATTTTGGCACTGCTAACCAGGAGTTACAGGTACCTGATACATTGTGAAGATGGGCCAATGCACCTAGTAGCTCAGATTGGGGCTGACAGAAAATAATCTGTTGGATTTTGAATTACAGAGCACTTAGAAACACAAATTATAATAAAACAATTGGCCCATTATTCAGTTACAGTCCTCACCCCACATTTTAAGATAAGATTATGCTTTCTGCATAAGTGCAAGAGAAACCCCTGAAAGATTCTGTCGTCATTTCTAGAATTTATCCCCTGTTGGCTTCCAACAGGCTTTAAAAAATCTTAATGCACATTATGATTTTTAACGAACTTCTCTCAGTCAGAGAATTTGCTTTAATGTACCCAGACTACACAGGGGATAATTGAAATGTGATCATGCCATAATGATTATTAGTCTGTAACGGTTCTCTGAGCTTGAATCATGCTGGCAGAGGCCCTCTGGAAGGGAATGCTTTCTTCAGATAAGCAACGTAAGCCAGCAATCCAAGGATCTGACATAGTGCCACAGGGCACTTCTGAACTTGAGTGGTCTCTGCTGCAGTGTCATGGAGGTACTCTGGCTTGATGGAATCCAAAGTTGGGCTTGTGGGTCCATGATCCCACTGCTCCAGCTTATAATTCGCTCATTCTGCATCATTTTCTATTTAAAATCCACAAAACTGAAAGTCTGGGTTTTCCAGCAAGATTTGTGAAAGGTGCTACCTGGGGAGGGAGAAGGGGAGAAGAGGGTGGGGTTGCAAATGTGGGAAGGAGAATAGGGAAATGATGATGAAAAGTGACCCTGCATGTGGAAGTGCGCTTCTCAACGTACCTATGTGATGCAGGAGACAAGGGAGACAAGAGGGGGTCCCCATTGTATTGAATATACCCCTGATTTAATGATAGAAAATTCTGCTTTGGTTGAACCATTTGTTTCTAGTAGCGGTAAAGAACCCGCCTGCCAGCTCAGGACACATGAGACGTGAGTTCGATCCCTGGGTTGGGAAGATCCCCTGGAGGAGGGCATGGCAACCGACTTCAGTATTCTTGCCTAGAGAATCCCATGGACAGAGGAGCTGGGAGGGCTATGGTCCATAGGGTCACAGAGAGTCGGACACGACTGAAGTGACTTAGCACACATGCACACAGAACCCAAGACTCCCACTTTCTCTCTCCCCAGTGCTAAGCTGCCTGATTTGGCCTTATAACATCACATTGGGCTGGGGAGAGAGCAGACGGGGGTGGAAGGGCTTCAGATCAGCCCCTAGAGCTCTGACATCCAAGCCTGGGGAGAAAGGAACTTTCTAGAGGAAAAGCATCTTCCTGGGAAGATCCTGAGCTTTCTTGTACAAAGTGAACCTCTGTGGCCAGTCTCACAGAGTTTCCTATTTATGCCCCACCATCCTGGCCCACAGCTGAGGGGCAGACCAGGACAAGTCTTTCATCACCAACCCTTCCTGGATCTGCTCTGGTCATGGGTCACAGGTAGCCACTGCGTAGCCAAATGCCTCATTGGATCCTTCACTGCAATCTCACCATCAATTTCTCAGCTCTTCCTTCTTAAAGCTCTCTTCTTTGTTGACCACTCTCAGCATGGGGCCTATACTCCCCAACCCCATTCCTAACCTTGGGCAGGAGGCTGAGGAGTGAATGGGAAAAGAGAGTGAGGCCTTTGAGGCAGGCCTGGACAAAGGGAGGCAAGTGGGTCTCTGCATACGAGATTCAAGGAGGTGCTCACTCTCAGAGTTTTGCAAACACAGGACAAGGGCTTCCTTAAATTTTGCATGCTAGGCTCATTGGCCTCATCCTAGTCCCAGTCCTGCTGTGAGCGCAGGCTGCACGGTCACCAGGTCCCTTGGGAAAGCTGGCTGGGCTGGGGTTACTCAGACATGGCTCCCACTGTGTATTCTTTCTTCCTAGAAAGACTGATTCCACCATGCAACAGGAACCCCGGGGCATGCAAGAATTCTGCAGCATGTGCCAGGCTGAAAAAACCAGCACTTGTGTTCCAAGGGTGATCAGAACACCAACACTCTCCACTCAATGCCAGGACAACACTCTGTAGAAGCAGTGCAGTGAGAATGCTATCATGATTACTTAAATGACCTGCACAAATAATTTTCCACCTGAAGGCTTGGAGGGGCTAGCCCTTCAAACAGATGTGTGAAGCTGGCAGGTTAAGAGGGTAAAGGGCAGGGTTTTCCCCTCCAGATGTTGCTGTTACTCCTTCTAATGATTCTGAGACACCAGGGCTGTCTGCAGAACTTGGTGGCAGCATTAGCATGGTTACACTGTGATCTTTGCTTTATAAAACTTTCTGCTTTTTTCAAAATTCTTGCTAACATTTCACACGCACCACGGATGTTGCATAGCTCAGAGGAGTCAATTTAAAAGCTGTCATCTTCTCCTAGGTTTATACAGAGCAGGACTGAATAAATAAGTCATTCAGTGCGGCTGTGGATCTTTGTTCAGTTGGGTTTGTCCTTGTAACATGTCATAGGCTCTGAGGCACCCATGTTCCATTTCCAAAGGGCTCTTTGCAAACCCTTTTCGAAGCTGTCATTTGAATCACTGGTCATGAGAGCAGCATTTATAATGGCCACATTGTCCACACTATCTAAATGCTGTGGTATCGCTGGATTTTCTATGTGTTTGCCAGCTTTGAAAGGTCTCCTGTGACCTGCTTCTGCAGATTGTTCCCATCTGACCTATTCCATAGGGGCTTGGAGTTCCCAGTGTCAGGACAGCTGAGGGGCAGGCACTGGGCAAGAAAAATGCGTGGTGGGGCGGTCAGGCTTTTAGCAGGATGGTGTGCTAAATCTTTGTTGTGAAAATGAGTAAGGGTGGAATTCCAGGCTGTTTTTTCCTCATTGGCCCTACAGGCTTTGTCATTTTCTCCCACTCTGTCGTTTCAAACTGTGCTCACCTCTAACAATGCTTTCTGACACTCTTCATCTTCTGGAGGTCGAATATGCCCCCCTGGAAATAACACCTCACCTTCTAGGCCCTCAGGAGTTCTACAGGATCTGCCCCAAGATAGGGGTGGCAGGGGGAGAGCTGGCTACAGATTCTCCACATTCCTTTCACTGAGAGGTGGGTTTATGTTCCCTTTCCCTTCAATCCGGGCTTTAAGAGTATTAGCAGTTTGCTTTTTAATGTGGTAAACAAACAAACAAACAAACACATAGAATACAATCTACCGTCTCAGTCATTTTGAAGTGTGTAGTTCAGTAGTGTTCAGTAAATTCACATTGTTGTGAAACAGATCTCCAGGGCTTTCCATAATGCAAGCCTGAAATTCTATACCCATTACACAACATCCCCTCTCCCTCAGTAACATACCCCCATCCCTCAATAATCACCGTTCTGTTTCCCCTTTCTATGAATTCAATGTCTTTAGATAGCTCCTGTAGGGGGAATTATACAGTATTTGTCTTTTTGCAACTGGTATATTTGACTTAGCCTAATATCCTCAAGGTTCATCTATGCTGTAGCATGTGACAGGATCTCCTTATTTTCTAAGGTGGAATAATACTCCACTGTATGTATGGACCACATTCTGCTCATCCGTTCATCTGTTGATGGGCATTTGGGTTGTTCCCATCTTTTGCGTATCGTGCGCAGTGCTGCTATGACATAGGTGTAAAGATACCTCTTCAGGACCCTGCTTTCAATTCTCCTGGATACACACCCAGAAATGGGACTGCTGGATCATATGGTAGCTCTATTTTTAGCTTTTTGAGGAACCTCCATACTATTTTCTTTTGTGTGTGTGTGGTTTTTTTTTTTCATACTATTTTCTATTGTACTGTTTCATAATCCCACTCACAGTGCACAAAGATCCAATTTCTTCATATCTGTCTGACATTTTAAAATTTCTGTTTTGAGAGAAGCCATCCTAATGGGTGTGAGGTGATAAGTGTAGTTTTGATTTACATTTTTCTGATCATCAGTGATGTTGAGAGCCTTTAGAGCACTGGCAATTTCCGATCTCTCTGCTGGAGTGACCACATGAAGAGGTCCTGGTAGCACGGAGAGGGAGACTGGTCCAGCTGAGCCCACCTTTCCAGCCATCCCTGCAAGGGGCCTACCTGTGAGTGAGCCTT